TACGACGGCCACATGAATGTCGTGGAAGAAGGAATAACACATAACACTGGAGAATCTTAAGTTATTTTTCTAATATTTATTTTATCTAACTCTTAAAAATAGTTTTGAACATGTTTTTTGAAAAATTAAGTTTTCACCATTATTCGTGCACACACAAAAAAAAAAAAAAAAAAAAAAAAAAAAAAAAAAAATGGGATATCGCAAAAATTATCCAATGAAAAATGTATTACTTATGCCAGTTCTTCTCAAACTTTCACTATTGGCGACCCAATTTTCAATTATAATTTTTATCGCGCCCCCCTTATACAATATTAATGCTCTTTGGCGCTAAACCGTAACTGTAACCTCTTAACTATAAACCGTACAGATTAACAAGATAAAGTATTAAATTTCGTATTTGTTACTTTTAAGTAATATTTATTTTAAGCAAATTACTTTTATTGTTACCAATGCCACCTGATCGGCAAAGGCCAGATCAAGGCTCACGAAATTCATCATGGCAAAGGGCTAAGTGACGCCTGTCTTTAGCTGTAGCTTTGAGCACCATACAGGTGACAGAACGATTTTAGCTCGGTTTCACCCCAATTTAGAGGGAGAACACCCTAGGGATGGTCAGGGGTCTCCCATCAACCTCACGAGGGGACTTGCGGCTCGATGGCTATTTAAAGTACCCCCATGCCGTGAAGGCACTATACATTTACAAACATCCATGTCTTCTCCGGGATTCGAACCCAGTCCCAACGGCACAGCAGTCAGCGTCGCTAACCACTATATGGATGGGCGACGCAAATTACTTTTAAGTAATAGGATAATTATTGAAATTTTTCTTTTCTCTAATTTTTAAATTGCAACACAGATTGCAAAATGATATTTAATTAAAAATTTATTTCCACCATCATCCATTTCTAAAAGTAGAAATGTCATTAGAAAAAGAGTCTAGTCTATGTTATTCTCTATCATATCCATCCATTTGGCATTAATATTTAAAGCGAGAAGACTTCAAAAGGTTTTTACCCGGGAGAGCAGGTGCGCACTCGATACTAACGTTAATAGTCGCGAGAGGCGACTGAATCACCCCCAATGTTTATTTCTTTTTTACAATTATTTTTATTGTACACGATAAAAATCACAATTCCAATGAATAATTTAACTGAGAAAATATACTTAGTCAGACAAATCACAGACACTTTTCGCTAACATTACAGGAATGACATTTGAAAGCAAAACCGTCATATTTTGTTATAATTATTGTAGTTTAGCTCTCCTTTGACTTTGAGCTCCACGTGACCGCTCTCGTGTAAAAAGTGTATTCAATATAAAAATATGGATGTCAGTTCTAAAAACGAATTGTGTAAAACTCGTATTTCATCATGCTTTACATGTTTCAGAATACCCATAAAAATAATTCTTAGCCAAATAATCCTTCCAGGACAGAACTAATCATACCAATAGGTTCTTTAGTCAAACGATGAAAACAATGATGACTGACGCAAATCTACTTCCTGGGTGAAAAGTGAATAAGTCTTCCTTTTCTTTCTACAGCTTATGTACAGCAGTTCAATAATAATAACAGTGATGAATTTTTATCTTCCTAGAATTTTTCTTTGGGTCTGAGTTTTCCCCCCTTTTCTGAAAAAGTAGTATTTTAGGTTTAAAAAGAAAACGTAATAAAAAAAAATCTCTCATCGTGCCATTATAGTAAATCAAACAAAATGTTTTTTTTTATTTAGTTATAGGATCAGGTAGTTAATGAACGTATGAAAGTGGAAACTGATATTTTTGATGAAGTTATATCCAGCTGATATATATAAATTTTATCACTGTAAATGTGTATTTTTTATATGTCAGAAAGTATTTTGTTTACGTCGTTCCAGTAAATTAATTTTTTAAACCTTTTATTTCCGATATGCTCGCGCCCCCTAAGGCGGCACGCCCCACAGTTTGAGAAACGCTGACTTAATCGATAAGCCATTTAGAGTGTAACAAACCACAGGTTTTAAGATAGTTACATTTAATCATATTTTGCGGCCAATTTTAGCTTAGAACATTAAGTAGTTTTGACGAAAAATAATTATGGTCAATTTTGAGAATGCTCTTATAAAATATTTATTTCTTAAAATATTTTTTATCTTGCGGTTCCTGCTACTTCAGATGGATCAAGAAGTATATCAATGACATTAAAATTACATTATGTCAAACGTAATTTTATTTTCGCTGTTTTTCTTAACATTGAAATTTTTGCTAAAATTTTTGAAAAATAATTTTTTTTTTCAAATAATTTTTTTCATATAAACTATTTATTTAATAATTTTGACTCTCTAAACTTATTTATGTTCTTTAAAACAATAAAGCTCTTCTGAAAATCAATTTTTCAAAAATTGGTCTCCTAACCTACTCGGATGCCTTAAGAGTTTTATAATCATGTTCCCAAACTAAAAGCCGAATGCGCAATTTTATTTTTAAAAATTTAATCTATGTCAAAACTGCTCAATATTATACGAAAGCTCTCAATTTATTAAAGCCGTTAAAGTTGTGACACTTTGCAATCTCTTTTCCAGAGAACACCTATAAAACTGCAACAGCTGGGCCGTTATAATCCCTATAGCCCTCGTGAAAATCTCCTGAATATTTGATGGGCCATATTAAACATACCCGATTCCAAATTTTCGAAGCGTTTTAAAAAATGACTACAACTTTTATCTACGATTTTATCGTCACGTTTTGTTCCAATATGGCGATGCTCTTAGAGCTCTTCGCCTGCGGTGATGGTTACTGTTAAATATTTAATTAATGCGTAATAGCCACTCAGCGAGGGGTTGTTTTGATTGATTAATGGCTATCCGAGGGGGGAGGCGAGGGGATGGAGAATTTCGCAGGGCAGAGTTACGCCTCGAAATTCGGAAATGGCATTTCATTCTGAGAATAAAACAACCACCTGTCTTCCTAATGGACAAAGAGGAGCCCGGGAGATAGATTTATCCCTCCCCCCAAATACGATGAATTATCAAGCCCCCCAGCTTAATGCACATGTAGAGTTGCTGATTGCATTATCATTATAACTTCCAAAGCAAAATGAAGATGTTTGGAAATGTCACCTACAGTAAGTTTGTGCGAGTTATAAATTAAATTTCCTCTGTTTGGTTCAGAGATAATGCTTGAGAATTATTCAAAAATGGGGTATGACATAATAAAGTGCAACATTTAAATATCTGGAAATACGTATTCTTAAATGTAGTTTAGAATGGAGTTGACTTCTTTTGCGTTTTTAATGTGTAAATAAAATTCGTAGATAGGAATATGTTATTTAATTTTGAAAGATAGAAATAAAAATGTGTTTTTATCCAGACATATTTCCTTCAATTAAAAACCACTATTCTCTCTTTTAAATTTTTTAAAAATGGTAAAAGTTCTTTCTAAAAAAAATTAAGTTTAATTTTATTTTGATTTAATTATTACTCGGCTTGATTAATGATTAACTAACAATCTTGTTGAATTTGAATCGAAATATTTTACTCACATGTTTAACCAAAACATAAAACAAACAAGAAACGAAACAAGAAATTAAAAGTATTTTTTATACGCATTAAATTTAAAGAAATCGTTTGCAGCCTTTCTCCACGATCTTATTAAGCATCAAGGTTTAAAAATACTAGAGTTCAGAGAGGTGGGAAAAAATTTGAAAACCACACTGGACTATAAGGGGAACGTTTCATATTTTTATTGATTAATTTTAGTTTAAGACCGAATTATATGATAAATGGAATTACATGTTAAATCTTAAAAAGTTATTTTCACATTGAAATATTTTTATAATGCAAAAAGTATTTGAACTATGCTCTTTAACATTTGGAGAAAATGTGCGATCTTAGAGTTTTAACTATTTTTAAACTAATAAAAATCGATTTGAGCAGTGCTTCTTAAACTTTCAAAACTTGTGACCCAATATTCAATCACATGATTTGCATCGCACCCTCTTCCATTCAATATAATAATGTATTTGTGAATTCGATAATATTTATAACCTCAGTACAATACACTGCATTTATAATCAGTGTAAATGTTGTTTTTTTTAATTTTTATTTTTTATTATACCAGAATGTGTATTTTGTTTGTTTTCTTTAATTAAATTAATTATTTTTTAAATAATCTTTTGTTTTCAAAATTTTAAATATAGCGGGGGCTATCCTACGACTGTCACGCCCCCTAGGAGACGCCCCCCAAAGCGCTGGGTTAGAGTAAATCATATACCAAGAGAAAGTCCATTTTACATCGATACATAACCATTGCGATTTTAAGCAACTTTTCAAATTTACACAAAACTCATTTTTAAAGAATAATGCAGCATAAAAGTTTGATAAAAAGCATTGATTTATTTAAGTCATTCTAAAGCTACAAATGACTACAGACTATGGAATTTTTTGAGAAATGATCAAACAGCAGTAGTGATTTAAAAACGGGAATCTCTCAACAAGAGGAGCATAAAACTTGCATAAATTAAACGAACAGCAAATCCTGTTATTCTACAACAAGATCTTTGATAGAATTTAGACCAGAGTTTAAAACTGAATTGCCACTGGCAAATAAGATCGCGACTTCAGTAACTGAACTACAGCGACCATAAAATAACGCATTTCAATTAAAAAATTTTTCAAAGAATTTTTAGACTGTATATATACATATATTTTGTAATATTTAGTAACCATTAAAAATTGTAATTATATAAAAACAAGTCAAAAAAATATTTTTTTAAGTCAATTACTACTTAGATCAACGAAATGTTTTTTTATTTTAGTTACTTTTTATTAAATAATTACAATTAATATAAATATGTATATACATATGACAGAATCACAATATTAAATGGCAAAATAGAAAGCGATTTTCCTTTCTCTGTATGGTATTGGACTATTATTTTTGTCTCTGTTAATATTTATACATTAATTAAATTTAATTATTCCAATAAAATAGTACAGTAACAGGAAATATTCTCAGAAATTAGGGATCCCAGGTGGGATTTGAACCCATGATCCTTGGATTAAAAGTCCAATGCGCTAACCATTGTGATACAGAGACATAGCGAGAGATTTTTCTTTTTATATATGGTGTTGAACTGTTATTTTTGTTAGTAATTTTTTATTCATTATTTAAATAGAATTGGATAGAATAATGAAAAATAGAATTAATGAATAGCAATATATATATATATATATATATATATATATATATATATATATATATATATATATATAATATAAAGGGAGAGTGGGAACTAATAGTATGAATTGAAAAAGACCAACGGATGTTACCAAGTGATGTTCGTACTATTTCATCGTAATGGAGCTGTAAAGCCTTCAGCCAAAATGTCGATGTTATTATTTATAAGAACTGTGTGTGTGTGTGTGTGTGTGGGGGGTTCTTCTTTTCTAAAGAAAAAATATTAAAAAAAACATGTAAGAGACTCGCGTCTCTCTCGGGGGCATCTAGATGTGTGGGGGAAAGGGAAGAAATACTCGACGATTCAACTAATATACTTATTTCTACACTAATAACAGACACAATTTCAACTAATAATAGTAAGAGAATGTCTCGATGTTAACCATGAAAGTGGAATAACGACAGTAAAACGTGAGTGATTAGGAGACTAACAAACTTGATCCTTATCTTAATTAACCCTCTGACTGGATGACCCGCTAATTGAATTTCACTTCGAAAGCGATCTCATTTTTTTAAGCTAGCTACTCCGAAAATGCTCCGATAAATTTCGCGAACTGCTTCAAAAACGAATGGCTGTTTAGTGCTTTCCCCTGTTAACGCCGCAGGAGGTCCCGATTGGTTTTGCAGGGAAGGATTTTATTGCCTTTCGGTCTCTGTGTTCTTCGAAACGGGAGGTTTCTCATTCACAGCTGTGGCCTAGGGCGAGGATTGTGAAATGGACATTTTCTACACTTCACGGCCAACAGAAACTTCACCCGATTTATTGCAAATATATATTTCATATATTTGGAAAACTTGCTCAATTTCTGATCTAAAAACCAATTAGGTTTTAAGAACTTTTAATTTTCTGAGTTTTGATTTTAAATTCGGTTTCATTTTAAAGCATTTTTGCATTCCTAGATTGAATTAATTAAAAATATTTTTTAACACAATCCAATATTTCGTGTGAAACGGCAATTAATTACAATTTTAGTTTCTAAAATCATTTCTGTTTGCTCATGTTTTTAAGTTTTTGAGTTTTCTCACATTTACTTAATTAAGATTGATTTAAAGACCAATATATTTTTGACACATAGTTTATATAATTTAAAAGCTCTTTACTTTGTTTTCATTATTTTTTTTTTCCTTTTGAAAAATGCCATGACCAAAATGTACGCAGGCTACTGTGATAAATAATACTTGAAAGGGATGGAATATGACTGAAAATGGTAAATCTAAAATGCAGCTTTTTCAGGTAATATTACAATTAGACTACAGAATACAAATGTTGCAGAATGAACTAAATATTTCCCTGATGTACCACAAACTACATTATAATAAATCTATTGTAGTACTACACTGCAGTATTTTAAAGTCATGCAACAAAAACTTAAACTTGCTTAACTGCCACGATTGGTAACTGAGAAAAAAATAGATATTATTTACAAACTTGGTGATTTCTGGATTACGTTTGTATAACTACTAATTTCTATATAAATATTTTGCATTTAAAACTCTTGTGAATATATAAGGTTCTGATAAAAGTGAATAATTGATCAAATTAACAGTTGTTATCAATGTTATGTCTTAGAATATTTTGAATTAAAAAAGATATTTCAGTCATATTTATTTCAAGTAGAATTTTCATGTAGAGCATAAGTTGGATAGTAACAGATTAAAAAATTAAAGCTTTACAGGCAATGGAATTTTTTTTATGCCTTTACAAATTGTAAATATGTTTTTCTCAGATTTTTAAATTTGAAGATGAGAGTGTTTTCTAATCCCTAAGGCGTTTTTCCTGTTCAATATAGAGTCTTGAAATATCTTGTAAATGTTCCCTTACATATGTTCTATAACAGTTCATATGGATTTAGGTCTGAGAGCTCTAGTTATTTTTTAAAAATATTTTAATATTAATATTTAAAAAAATTGGGTTTTTTCCAGGTTTAGCCATAAAAATAATTATTAAAATTCAAAAAAGAGATATATTTTAAATTTTATACTTTTTGTTTCCAATAATCTAAGAAATATTAATCACTTACAATAATTAAATATTTTTAACAATTTAACATTTTATAAAAGTTTTAAAAATTTCAAAACTGTTCAATGCTTTAAAATTGTGAAATAATGGCTTGTCAAACTAACCTATTATTTTCAGAATCAATATAATAGTATAATTTGAATATGAAACAAAAATTAATTTTACTGTGACAAAACTGTTTACGACTTCTACTCATACTGTAAAAAGAATGAAAGATAAATATATAACATAGTGGCAATCAAAAACACATTCATAATATGTTAAAATCCTGTCCTGATACAAATTTCAATGCATTTTCCAAACTGTAGCTAAATACAATTATATGTTTATTAGGCCAGAAATTATTTATATTTAGATATATTTTTCCTTATTAAGTACATAATGAATAATGGCAAGATAATTTGTAAAATCCTGAAAGATTTTAATGAAGAAAAAAAAAGCCAGACATAATTTTAGATAGTTAGAAATTTAATTATATAATACACAAATATGCATGTTTTAAAAGAAATAAGTTGGCTAAGAAAATGAAATTTACTAAAAATTTCCTGAATAAAGTAAATCAGATTTCATCCTCAAATACATATAATTGTAAGAAAAGGTTTTATTCAATTTACAATTAGTTACAAAAAACCTTTTATAAAAAATAATTTTAACAGGTATAAATAGCAAAAAATATCAAAGAAGCATGAGAAAGACACATACATGTCGTTTACAGAAATGTCACAGTGTGATATTTTTTGAAACACGGCACTGCACACAGTCCAACATTACAGTCTTTACATTGAAAACGAGTTTTTGATGTTTAACGACTAAATCGTAAATATAAGAAACAACAGTCAAATATCTCGAGTGCAGACGGCGCTCGCTGATATTTGAGTGAGAAAATTAAAGCAGCATAAAATGCGACCTCGTTTGAATTATATCTAATGTGCATATTTGGAACTGTTTAGCGTACTCGAATTAACGCAAGTGCACACGTCAGGGTTTATATTGCATTCTAAGTCAACACGGTGGCTACTGACGAGCGACTACGTAATTTTGAACCGCGGTTAAGTAACGAGGACGATACCTGAGCTGATAACTCCCCTTCCAAACTTCCACATCACACCAACGTGAGGACTTTTGACGTCGACGTGTTTAACGTGCATCAGCTTCTCTTCAACGCTAAACTTTTGTGGTACCAGGGCTCGAACACTGGACACGAGTTCATAACCACGACCATCAGGCTACCGTGGCCGCAAAAGAAAATAGCAAGTTTGAAAGAAATGTAATGGAGAAGTATATTTGAAGAAATAACTTCAAAACTTAACGAAAAACCAAAATATCAAAATTTATTTTAGGAATAATAGTGAATTTAACTTCGTACACCTAAAACCACTTTACGCAGTGTATTTTTGAAAGTGAACGTTTCCCCTTTTAGAGAAACTTACTATAATTATGTCAAATTCCTTTCATTTTGCTCTAAGGGGATCCCCGAAACAACGTAATTTATTTGAAACACAAAATTACTTATGGTTGAATCTAATACAATTCCCTACAAAATGAATGAAAACCCTTTTTTTTATCATATAAATTGTGTTTGAATAGGAGATGGTTAGTTAATAAGAACATTTAAAACGTGTCGGCAATCTATGGACCTGTGGCACGTGGTACAATTCTTAGTGGCACTCAGCACTACTCTACAAATTTGTCAATTCTTGAGTGGATGGAAGTTGATAATAGACCTTATTTGACAAACATCTTCTGAGAGTTATGGACATTTATGGAACTACAAAATAATCTGAAAGATAATTCTAAGGATAAATTTACAGCTATTTTGTAAATAATTGAGTGTTATTGCTAGGGGATTTAATTGTTGAAAAAAGAAAATTGCATGTACTCTGCTTTCCACTTATGTGATTCGGCATATCAAAGTAAAAAATCTTTCCTAATATGAAAAATATTTCGACTCCGCAAAGAAATTGTTTAACAACTGAATGCTCAGAATCGTGTCATGCATTATACCCCTGGTTTTGCGATATGAAAGAAGAGTCGTGTGAAAGAGTTAATTCGCATTACAATTTTTATTTAACTATAATGAAGGGAATCATTTATATATTTCACTTTGTCTATTTCTTATTTAAGTAAATATGTTGGAAACATACATTTTTAATTTTTTTTTATCTTTGTTGAAGAAATAGTAACATTTTATATTGTTTATTTTTATGTTAATAAATGTATTTTATTGATCCATAATTAATATAAAATAAAACTGTAAATCTAAATTATTTACCTCTATTCTTTAAATCTGCAAATATTACCGTAAGAATCGAAGGATTTCAAAAATTTCCTACTATGTGGCACGCTGAATGATACTGACAGATTGGTTTGGCACGTCTTAGCTACACAGTTGCCGCCCCTGATTTAAAATGTTGGGTAAGATAACCATTATATTTTTAAAATTTTATAAATATATAAAAGGAGAGTATTTTGTCAATGCATGTTTTAAAAAGGAGTAAAGTTTACGAGAACGAAATATAAAATTGCGTTAAAATTATTGGTACTCTATCAACCGTACTTTTATATATATATATATATATATATATATATATATATATATATATAAGAAGTACGTCGATAGAGTACCGTAGTTACTGCCAACTCGTGACAATGAATTGGAAATTAAGTTCACAATTCATTGTTATTAAAATATATAAAATTTTACATGACTTATTTTTGTATTTGTTATTTTTATATTCCTTACTGAGAGAGAAAGCAACAAATGGGAGTTCATTACCTGCCGAAACTGCAGAGGCCTGGTTGTTTACTCCACAAGCTCCTACCTTATGCTTACTCTGCC